ACGGTCCATCGTGACTAAAGTATTATTACTGATTGGCCGCAGAGTGAGCATTCTCCCTTTCTAACCGACTAGCATACTGATAGATGCCAAGCACTACCAATACGTATTATACATGGCCCACTAGGACTTTATGGTCCGATGGGACAATAAGGCGATGTGGACCGTAGTAGGCCGAAAGGCTGGAAGCCAAGCAATACTGACTCCGTACATATAGCCCACCAGGCTGTCATAGTAGGCGTAGCGCTAATGCGGTATTTACCGTAGCGTAAATGAAACCAATTTATCCCTATATTCCTGGGACTTTAGAAAGGCCAGGGTCGACAGTGGTGCAATTCAAATGCATCGCAATGTCCGGTTCTTAGCCCCATCACCTCCCTTATTATTGCCATTCGCTGCCACGATCCTTTCCAGCATGAGCTTCGAAACTCTAGCAAAACCAGCTCAACCAGGAAAACGTGCGACTAGGTTGCCTTTGACCTTTCCGCAATTATCAAATACCCAACAGCATGGTAGCGAAGAAGGTTCCTCAACCTCACATGTCCAGCATTCCAAAGTGGCCGCCGTAGTGTCACATGGAGTATCAGAGAAGACGCCCAACGCGATATCCCAATTGCGGGAAGAACGAAAGCATAACGACGATAAATCTTTCCTGCGATTCGAATACCCATCTCAGTATTACTTGATATTATGGGAGATCGACCAAGCTGGTAAATCCTGGCTAGGCTTAAGAAACTGTGAGGGGTATCCATCCAAAGTGATAATTAAGAAACAGTCTACCCAACAAACGGCTACCGAAATGAAACGTCTGTCATCCACTCATAACGAAAATTTGGTTAATCTGGTCGGGGCATTCCTTCATCAACAACTGGCATATCTTGTTTATTCCTATCATCCATTTGCGATCGACCTAGGTGTTGCTTGTGCGACACCGGATGTCCATTTTGGCGAAACAGACATTGCCACTGTTTGCAGGAGTGTTTTAAAGGGCTTACATTATATTCATGCCAACCTCCGTATTAGCCATGGGGATGTCATCCTTAAAAATATTCTTCTGTCTGAAGATGGTGGTGTTCGTATTGGTGAGCGTTGTATCTGCTCACATCGTTGCCAATCCTACTAATGTCCACCCACAGCCAATATTGGAAGCAGCCTTTTACAAAATCATGGGCTCAGACACAAAAGGACAGATCTTGAGAATGTAGGGCTGATGGTTATTCATTTGAAGGAGCCGGCGACGATTCTAGAAGACGGGAGACTTCACCTTTTCAATCCGCAAAACATTTCGGATTCTGGGAAGCACTTTGTAGAGGAAACCCATTCGGCCCCTTGCCATGTCTTGCTGAAGGTTGTTTCAACTAATTCAGGGTTCTTATCTGCAAACTAACATATATCATCTCACTAGCACGAGTATCTGTCCCTCGCGACTCCAGACGGTGAGTCCTGGAGTTTGGCGCCTATTTACTATGACGCAGTACGCTATTCACCGTGCACGCCCCGGAAGATTAGAGAATATGAAGTCGAGATTTGATCGTCTCCATGGTTTCATATTGCTAAAGGGACGGTAAAAGCATATGATAGAGTGATTCTCGTCTTTTTCTTCACCTTCTGTGGATTTATATGTTGTAACTTTAGTTATCTTTCTGTAATTACGGCTAGTGCCTTATTACTTCGCTACGTATTAAAAGTGTTGGAGTCTGGATTTTACATATGTAAATTATGGAAATGCAAAAGCAAACAATGCAAGCGTCAACCTACCCAGTTGAAAGTTTCTATTTTTGACTCAGGCAGCCTGTTCCTCAATCATCTTAGCAGCTTTCTCTGACGCCTTATTCCGTTAATCCCTGTTTATGGATGTATATTTTTGCGTAGGACCGCCTGATGCCCGCTCTCATGGAGACTCCGCTCAGATCATCCACGATTCCAGAGAGTTCCTACAATATCACCAGCTATGCCGTTCAACTCTGGTATAAGCCACGTCACCCCCGAGGAGAATCGTTATTTCCTTGGGTTTGCAAAAGTACGCCTGCGTCATCTATCTGGCGAATATCGCGAAAAGAATGTCTCTAGGTATAGGAGAGCTCTGAAGGCTGGCCAATGCCCTCTTATCGACATAGAGAACCATGTCACTGCACTCATCGACCGAAACACTCTCGATAGAGCCCTTGACCGATGCAGAATTCCCCAAAGCGCTCTTACCAATGGAGATGACCCTCCTGTTATCGCATTTAAGGCGTCTACTATTCTTCCCTGCCTACACGGGCGCGATCTTCTCGAAGCGGCGAAGCGCTCACCTGGTCAAATATGGATTATAGCGAAACTGTTCTCAGATGGTAACTGACCTCCAATTTGTTTATCCTACTTACAGATGGGTATAAACTTATGCTATTGTTTGGGTTCGACCTTTCTTGGTATGCTGAGTGTTTCGTGGATTAGAGCTTCCCCAACCTTTACGTACTCGACTCGTGGAGCGGTATTCTCGTCCCGATGGTGCTTCAAATGTCGAAATTTTCCAGGCCCTCCTTCATAATCAGAAACCTGGCTGCGCGAAATCATGGCGTCATAGGTTTCCATCGAATACAGATTTTAAATATGTAAGACGAGTTGATGAATCAGCTGGGCTCAGGGAAGCTTTCAGAGCACTTATCCCGTATGAGGGCCTTTGGGGCACCTTTACATTTCGAAAGCTGGAGCATGTTGTTTCACCGCGATGCTATGAGGTGCGCAGGCTGCCCCTTGATGACTGACTAGTTATGGAATATCTAACATTTTAAAGGCAATGATCCATTACCTGGAAGAGTTATTCGAGACTTGGTCCTTGTTGTTTCCCGGTGAAACCGCAAGCCTCGTCGATACACAGTCGGTCAGCCTGATTGAGGGCAGGATGCCCAAATATTCTTCTTATGACAGCTCTCGAATAACATCTTTAATGAATGACGGCATTCTATTCCCACGCCTTTCCAACTATGCGGAAAGGGAGAGAATACTCCAAGCCTTACTCGGCATTAAAGGGCGTATATGCTCCTTGGCCCTTTTCTTTGAGGATGCGCGCTGCCTTGCTGGGCCCGTGAAAGCTCTGCGGGACCTTTTCGCAGTAGACACTCATTCATCTGTCTATGATTGTATTCTGAAATGCTGGGATGGACAGATGGAAAGCCAGTTAATCCAAGTTTCCGAGACCGAGTACCAAGAAAAATCATTGAACGCCATATTTCGTCCACAGGAGGTCGAGGGAGCCATTGCATGGTCTAGCTTTCTGCAGCTCTGGCTGGTTGCATTCCGCTACTTTATTGACCCTCGCATTGGCCGACAAAGAGCTCGAAAAAGCATTCAGCCTTTATTCAGTATGCGTGGTCAAGCGGAACTCGCAAAATCAGCGAAGAAACTAGGCTTCCGAGTTTCGAAGAGCAGTCTGACTGTGGCCGACTCGAATGCACCTGCACTCCACTATACCTTCGAGACACTTCTAGAAGGCTCTGGGAAAGAGATAGATGCAAGGGTAGCTAAACAGGTGACCCTTTTGGCGAGGAAGTTTCGGCAAATGTTTGGTGAGCTTGGGTGTAGCCCACCTCTGCATCCACCAGAATTATCGGTCGATTCAGATACCTTGAAGCCCAGCTGTCGGGGGGGGCGACCCCTCGGGCAGGAATATGTTAAAGATCGCTCCCATCTTTTCCTTAGACATATATATGGACCCGACCAAAACAGACGGCTTCATCCGAGCTCATTCGCGGTGATCAGGGATATATTCCTTTCCTTTTTTGGCAGAGAGCCTCTTTTTAACTTGACTGATAACCAAAACACATCATCTATAACGGTGGAGAAACCAACCGATGAAGCCCTTACTCCGGCCCTAGAATCTTGGCACCATGATCCCACAGAAGAAGATCAACCGCGCGCACTGAGAGCGCCGGACGGCTGCCTGCAGGTCAAGCCCATGGACAAGATGGCAGAGAACCCTTCTCCACACTCCACTGAGCCTTCCACCCCTGTTTCACTTCAAGAACATCCTTCTGGCTCACCTGGCCGTGAGATGAATGTCACTCGGACCGCTCCATTAGCGGCTGGTTTCGAAGATGAACTTAGCAATGCCCCCGTCTCTGAAAGAACGGCAATCACCATTCGTCACTACACAGTTGGCCAGATACTACCGATTTGGTATCAGTTAGGGGCACCTAATCTAGTCGTATTCTTCCTCTTCAGTTCAAAGGAATACATTAAGTTCTTTACCGACGATGTTTTGGCGATGCGTCTGGCTATCAATGATCTCTCTAGGGATCACTACTTTCTTATCATCAAAGACAACCAGATATTATCCCCAAGACTTGAAGAGCTGGTTGAAGAGGCTACTGACACGCGTCTACTTCTTGTAGGGCAAAAGAAGGGGCCATATGAACTAGAGAATAGGATAGCAGGTCTCACAATGGAGGCACTAGAGGACTACATATCGCAGTATGATGTTCATACAGGGAAGCGACGAGCTGCTGCAGATCATGGCAGTGTAGAGCAACCTCCATCGACCAGGATCAGGAGATAAATATCTCTTAAGAATAGACGATCAGGGAGAGCAGTATGAGCAGTACCAGGACCCGCCAACTCTTTTGATGATATGTAAATGTTGATATAGCCATTCTCAAAATTGGTTTCAACTACAAGCACAGGTCGACCTCAATGGGTTCCGGGCCCATCAGGGTATATCAAGAAATGAAAAAGCCGATAAAGTTGCTAAACTAGCAGCGGAAAAGCCCCCTCTAAAAGATATAGATAGAAGCCTGAGTCTAGCCTATCTACGCAGACCAGGAGTAGAGACAGCAATGGCTGGTACAGGCCCTAAGGAAGCGATACAGCGGCAGGCGCAGAGCCCAAGTAGCCCGCGCGCCGATACTACTAGCTGAGAATTGGACACGCGGCAATACCGACCTATCCAAATCAGATAGGGACCAAAAGCTCCCCTAGATGCCAGAGCTGCTAGGCCCTCGGGGAACAGCAGGCCACCTGCTAGCTGATTGCAGACAATGGCACCGCCAACGGCAGGCCCTGTACAGAGCCATAGCCAAGGCAGGTGTGCCACCACCGAGGCAGGGGGAAACAGCCCCAGAATGCCACCTATTTGAGAATCAGAGAGCCACGAAGGCCCTGATGGCCCTTCTCGCAACGACAAAGACTGGATACTTCCCAGGGGAAGAAGTTAGGGAGATATATAGGGTCTCTAGAGATAACATTAGAGATCTAGAGCTGGTGGAGGAAGCAGAAAGTAGGGGAGAGGGATACTAGAAGGGGGGACCTAGGGCGTGCCTAGGTGATACCAAACAGATACTGAATACCGAGGAGGGCATAGCCCAAAGGCCCTGGCGCAGATAGGCGGTTCGGGAAAGGAAAAGGACCAGAACGAACATACAAACTTGATTAAATAATAATAATAACACAGGTCGACTTCTCGCCAGCCTCGCCACTAAGAACTTAGCCGCTTCGTCGGCTAGCTCGCTCCCCGGCACCCCGATGTGCGCAGGGATCCAATGGATCGTAAGCCGATCTGTTAGGTTGTAGCGGCAGGCCACCGCGTAGATTCCCTACATGAGGAACTGCCCTGACGGCCTGTCAGGGTTCTGCACCGCCTGGATAACGGCCCGGCTGTCTGCAAGCACCATATCAGGTCGCGATTGGTGACCTGCGGTGACCCTGGCTATCTGTAGATCTCGGAGTTCTGCTGCGTAGACTGTGGCCTCAGTTTCAGTGCCTAAGAACTTCTGTCACACCTGGCCAGTTTGCAGGCCTATATGGCCCTGATATCTACTTCTATCACTGTATATCGCAACTCTCTTTCGGTTACGGCAGAACTTATTATGATGTGATACTGCCTTCTTATGATCCTCAACTATACAGGTTAAGGGCTTTTCCAATAGAATATATATATACGCTCGCCTGGTCTTCTATATATATATCAGTCCCTGTCAGGGTCAGAAAACTGTCTTTTCTTTGCAATATCTCTAACAGTATTGGTCCGCTGAATTTGAGTTCAGAACCCGGCCGAGATCTGATTAGTCCCCTTGGGTATCCGATAGTTGGTTCTGTTCAGATTTAGACTACCTCAATAGTCTGTTATATTTATAGCTTGACTAATAGAATATAAAGTTCCAGATCAAGAGCAGCCGTTGCGGTATCTTTAAAAACTCCGCTGATTATAATTGCGATCTACTTTTCGACCTTGTAGAACTCTCCCAGAATAAATTAATTCTCCCGAGTCTTGACCCAGCTGCTGGTTGGGCTGAGCCACGCAGTAACCCTATATAATATTTGCGGGATAACTACTGCAAGATAGATCTGCCGCATGGCCAGCATATTGGTGCCCCACGTAGATCCTGAAATCCATTTGATCGTTCCCCAGTGGTTCATCCGGGATCTCCCAGAATTTGTCGTCGTCCTCGGTTAGGAGTTGGCCTTCCTGATTCTGGCGTAGTTCTACCTGATCTGGCGGGTTGAGAGCGGGTTTCAGTGGTCCCGAGCCAATTGGGCCCTATTCTGGGGGATATTATCTCAGTTCGGGGGCGCTTCCTATAGTAGATCAGACTGCCGCGGGTTAATAAAATAGATTAGCTTAAACTTGTCAGATATAAATTTTAAGATATATATTAATTTCTAACAATCTACTTTAGTTAAAGTCTCTTATAACGTGGCTGTGTTGTCTATATAAGATTGCGAGTTTATAATAATATAGAAATTGTCAATCTACTCAAAAATCTCTATTTAATTATCTGCCGGTCTTTGTAAGCTCAGTATTCTGATCAGAGATATATTATAGAGAAGATAGAGGATTGGTAAGAGAGATAATCTATACAGAATCTCTGTAGCCGTAACTATTTAATCGCTGACAAAGCTGGTAAAGAATAGATATATACTCTGATTGATTAAGAAAGCTCGAAACTACGCAGCGAAATAGCCGAGTTTTGATATATAGATATTGTGAATCAATCGATTATACAAGAAATTATCAGATATACCAGATATATCTAATAGAGATATATTAACCTTCTGGCTATATCCCCAAGCAGTTTGTATGTAGTCCAGGATCAACTGGACAGTGTGGTCAGTTGAGATCCTCTTTTGTCTACTAAGATGAGTGTCAGATAGAATCCAGTACTCCAGGGCCCAGGCGATCTATACGGCCACTACTGATTCGAGGATCTTGCTAAGGGTATTCAGCAGGGTAACTGGCCGGTAAGATTTCGGGACCCGGTAGTCCTATGGTCCCGGCTGGCAGAGGACTACCTGACTGAGCTCTGGAAGTGCTTTAGGTTGTGACCAGTCCGCACGCAGATATTGAACGGATCAGTGGTCACAGTTAGAAAGGCAGTTACGTCTAACAGGGTGTGCCAGACTTTGTTCGGGACCGTGTCCGGTCCGGGTGCCTTGTCGGGAGGGCTTAGGGTACGGCTTTGGCCAGCTCGGGTTCGGCAATTGTAGGAAAATATATCGGTTCGGGGTGCCGTGCGGTATTAATATCGGATAGGTCTGCGGGCGGAGGTGCTGGGAAAAAGACTTTGCTAAAGGCTGCGGCCTTGCTCTGCATTTTCTTAGCTGGTCCGTCCAGTCTGTTCAGCGTGGGAATCACGGTTGCCTTGTCCAGTTGGCCACAGTTTCAAGTCTATTTGGCCACTCGTCAGAGACCCCGCAGGCCCTGGTTAAGCGTATTCTGTATCCAGCGTCGATATTCTCGCCGCAAAGTCTTCGCGATTATCTTTCTTTTTCGATTCCCAGTGCGTGCATACTCGGCCCAATCCTCCAGGAAATAGATGACTGTGTAGGTTCTCCGTAGTAGGTGTATAAGTTTGACAATACCACGGTATTCTTCCGTGAAGTTTGGATTGATCCAGGCACTTGGACGTACCCACGGAACCAAGTCCTGAATGACACGCTATACAATATCAATGAGGTGGTCTGCCGCCCTGTCACAAAGACTCGTAGTTTGGCTGCGTCTATGGCCTTCTAGTTGCGTCGTCTCGGTGCCTGGGCCTCAGGCGTGTTGATATCGATTAGAATACGAATTGGGAGGTGGCCGGAATACGCGTGGATCTTTGAAGCCACCTCGCAGGCGACAAACCGATCCGTGAGATTCTGGGACCCCAATACCAGGTCGATCGTGGTGCGATGATTCTTGAATTCCCGTGTGATAGTTCCTGGCTCGAGTCATAAATCCAGCAACTGTGAGTCTGCGAGCTCGAGCAGTTTGTCTGTGTTCAGGTTATGTCTTGTCCTCCGGTTCGGACCCTTGATAAGACATTCCTCGGGGTCCAGTTCGGTCTCAGGATCATATCGGTCAACTGGCGTAGAACCGGGTTGTGGATTAGTATTGATATCCGGCCGGCTCAGCGTATTGTAGGTGTCAATTCGGTCCCAGATATCGGGTGTGTCCCACGCGTGGGTTACACCAGGCTGGGTGATGTAGGTTGAAGTCTCCCAGGATAATATATTCCTGGGATCTTGCATCGACCACGCGGTCAAGCAGGTCGATTGTATCAGATCTGTTTTGTTCCACGGCCCCGGGTTGTACGCGTTGACAATCTGGAGGCGGCCGTGGCTGTGCTGAATCTCGAGCTGCTGAGAGTCCCGCGAGTGCACGATGTGCTTCCATGCTTGTGGATCGATTCTGCTGGAGATATATAGGCAGACGCGGGACCGTGTCGTTCCTATGTCGTTGGCGGTTGGGAACAGCAGCTGGTGCGTCTGGTTGGTGAGATGTTGCGTGGTATCCTGATACAAGTTCTTCCACGGCTCCTGGAGGGTGATGACGTCGCCCTACAATACCAGCGGGTCCCGGAGGAACTGAGCCATGACTACATCTTTTTAGCGGTTCACATTGTATTGAAGAATCTGAAGGGGTTTTCTATTCATTGGATTCCTGCGTCGGTATTTTATTTCCTGTGGTCAGGCTCTTTCCGCTGGTGAACTGGGCTGGTTCTTGCGTGAACGTTCTATCCGGCTCGCGGTTCCAGGTAAGCCTTCGTTTTCGTTGATTTGGTGCACAGCTGGCAAGTACCAGGGCCGAGATTGCCTCGTTCGGCCCCAGTGTAGTGTAATTGTCGGTACTGACCTCCGGTAAGCAGAGTGCCTCCTCTCTTCTCGCCCGTCCCGGCCGTTTTGCCTGTTGCCGTTTGTGCGGCAGTGATCTAGTAGGATCGGATTGTATAGTGACCCTTTGTAACTTTCCAATCAGTCAGGCACTTCTCTGATATCCTGGGGAGTAGCCGGTACCTGTTCGGATGCCAGAATGGGTGCCGGAGCCAGTGCCAGAGCTTGTGGAAGCTTTAGTGGCCGTCGTTGTTAGCGGAGGGCTTGTGAGTATTGAATCAGTCTGGAACTCTTGAACAAGCTGTTCGACTGCTAGATCTACTCGTATTGGTTCTAAGGGCATCGGCTCTGGTTCGGCCATTCGTTCAGCTGCTGGCTCGATCGCCGGTATGTGCATGGCAACCGCATCTCGCCGCTGAGGATGTGTTCCAGTTGCGCCTCCGCGGTGAGGCGCTGATTCAGAGAGCGCAG